TTTCTAAGCAACATTTTCTTTTTAGAGAAAGAGAAAATAAAAAAATTCTGAATATTAGTTGACTCAAATGTTATATTATGCATAAACAGCAATACAGATAAAAGGGAATTAAGTGTGAATACGGAGACCTGAAAACTTGTTATAATTGCAGTTGTACTAATTGAAGAGTTAAATGAAACCTAAATTTAATATTTCTGATCTAGAAGTTGAATATCTAGAAGTTATTAGAATAATGCCAAAATGTTATTAGAAGAACTTTCATCATTGGTTCATTTTATTCAGTGTGTTTGGGTTTGTAGATTCTGGTCCGTGGGATAAAAGCTAATAGGAAAAATAGTGAAACACAACCATTGGTACTATGCAAATAAAGTTTGTTCCTAGTTCTAATTGATTCTGAGAGAGAAAGAGAGGGAAGGGGGAAGACAGTCACTTATTCTTATATTGGGAGTTGAGCACCTTAAAATATTAGAAACCCAAAACTCTATTGCCTGATTTATTCATTTATTTATTATTTAATATACTATTTGATCATGATTCACACACTTAATTTGGAAAGGGAAATTTTCTGCTTAAACCGCTAGCGTATAGTAGATGAGCTGGCATTTATACAGATTTTGGAGAAGTGATTTTCAACCTTGGCTGCATATTAGAATCACCTGAGGAGATTTTACAGATTCCAGTGTCTAAGCTGTACCCTAGACCCATTAGAATCTCTGAGGGGTGGTTCCTTGACAGTGTTATTGGAAGCTCATTTTAATATGCAGCCAAGGATGTGAACCATTGTTAGAGAAAGTGGTGAACTTCATTAGAGTCTTTGGGTAGTGTTGAGAGACTTTATTTAGGGTTTTTATACTGTTTTAAGGCATTGGTGAGATTTTCAGCTTAGTAGCATAATTACTATTTACATTTATTCTTGTGAATGCATATGATTCTCATAAAAAAGAAATGTACTAAAATTGCCTTTTAGGAACTGTTTTTCTTTCTTTCTTTTTTTTTTTTTCCTTTTTGTCTTTTTTACTGACCGGTAATGGGATCGCAAC